GGAGGCGGCTCCGATACAGAGGCTTCCGCCACCGCCTGCTCCCGAAAACTTGGGCCTTCGGGCGGCGAATGCCGATGCCGTCTCTGGCTTCCCCGATGGGAGGTCTCGAGGCGTGCTGGGACGGTGTCGCGCGGTTGTCCGAATTTCTCGGGCGGAATTGACGATGCCGGGTTGAGTTGTGCCAGGTCCTAATTGGTGCCCTAGATCTTGGTTGTTAATTGTTATGGAAAAGGCGCGAACGTGATCGATCAAGCCTGAAGTTAAAAGGAAACTATTCTTCATTCCAATACTGAAATTTATAAAAGTGTAGCCCAATCATAAAAGTATGTTTTACGCTCACCATGATATTTAAAATTCTGAAATATTTGACACTAAATCCTTTTACAAGAAGTATTATTTGTGATGCTGAAGTAAATTGTTCAGTAATTGAGACCGAAATAAATCTCTTATTCGGGTATAGTCGTAAATGTGTCAACTATACACGAATGAAATAAACATAAATAATGTTTCAGGACAGTGGTATACTGAACTTCAATTTTTATTTTAGCATTCAAACCAGACCTCTGTACCTATGAAATATACTAATATGAACATAGTGTACAGGTTTTCCCAGGACGTGGAATCCGGAGCTACTCGCTCCTGACCCCGACTTAATTGGTGTCCAAAAGCACACCAACTTTATGACAGGCGGCAACCTCCTGCCCTGCCACGTCGAAAACCTTCACCGGCCAGGAACGGAACCCCTTCCATCCCAGCATCCTTAGTATTAAAGTAGTAGTTTATGCAATTAGTTTATAATGTTAAGATTTATTGAATGAGTACATGTTTTGAAAACGAACGACTTTAGAAGCGAGTTTTCAAATTTGTACGCATGTAATAAATCCACATTATAAACGAGTTGCACACTATATTTTTTGTGTAACAGCATTATACATTTATAAGGGAATCAAACTTAATTTTGCGAAACAACTTCCCTGTGACGACTCTGGTATTTGACATCGTGCGAGTAACGGTGGTCGGTTGTTCTGTTTAGCTCTACCTCCCCCAGATTCTCTCGCTACGATTGGCTGAATGTGTGATGCCGCAATTATTCGTGACATAAAATCTAATATGTCATCATTTTTGCCGTAAAATGCCCGATTATGAACGATTTCTTGCAAGAGAAAAGGTTCTTTTTAATACTGGAATACAAAAAAGAACGTTTTCATTTGTCTCAATACACATTTTTTTACAACACTGCCGCCACTTGTAGCCAGTGTACTAACGCAGAGCGCCACATTGTCACTTACGTTCGAACGGAAACTCTTAGGGCCGGTTGTTATAAACGTTCGATATAGAATCCATATGCTAATTAGATCTATAAAATAGTCTATAACGACGAAACTGTTTTCTGAACAAAACAATAACGCTTATGGAACATACAGAGCTTTCTACATCTTATAGATTCTTAAACAGTTCCACAAATGCTTATATAATCTACAAATAAGCAACACGGAGTTCCTGCGGACTGCTCACGCAGCTGTTTACTTTTGTTCGAGTTCATTGGTGGTTCTTGGAGTCCGTGTTGTTTGGTGTGGTGCTCTGGTAGTTATTGTCTTTTTACGAGTTTTATTTTGAGTGTACTGTGCGTTTTTTTGGGGGGGGGCTGTTATTCACACATTTCTGAGTGAATAACATTCACTAATATTCTTGCATGTTATTCACACATTTGAATATTAGTAAATGTTATTCACACATTTCTGTTGCAATTTTGTGAAACGTAAGGATTAAATTTAGTTGTGATGATATATTAATTTCTGCTATAATATTTGTGTATTACAGTCTAATGTTTTCGTCACATTTTCTGATCTTTTTTTAATTTTCATTGTTTGTGGTATTGCCATCTCAGAAGATACGACTGAGAAATCAAAAGTAATGAATTTTTTTGTAATTTTTTGTAATCACTACAGAATTGCTTGTTGAATTAAACTTATAAAATAATTCATTTCTTTGCAGAATTCAGCCCAATTTCGTCCCGTTATCGTCGTCGTCATCGCAATCAGAAGACGCATATTACCTTCCGAAACTACGATTATTTTGGGAGAGAGAGAACCCCATGGAAGGGTTCGACTTTTTGGACTTCAAGTTGCGGTTGAGATTGTCCAAGGAGGTAGTAATGAACCTGCTTCATAAAATTGGGCTTCAATTTCAGCCCTTACACAAATAATTATTTGCCTTAGGTTTTATGCCACAGGTACCACAGATGGTCAGGGTCAGTTCATGACAATACTGTATTCGACTCACGCTATCTTTGAGTTCAGTTTGAAGCAAATGAGTACGGAAACGGCTACGTACTGGGCAATAGCATTTGCCGGATCTATTTAATGACTCCAGTTGCGAATCTTCAAAATGTCAAAATGAAAATAAATACAATTTAGCCCATGTGTGGACTAGAAATTGTATAGAGCACACAAATGGCGTGTTCAAATGGAGGTTGCTTATCGTTGGGTATTCGCCGCCAGACGAAATTGACCCTGGTCGTTACTACTGCAATAATTGTGTTGAATAACATTGCCATAATGAATAGAGATGGGACACCTGATGATTTTATTGTTAATGGTGAACAGGAAGGTGATATGATTGTAGTGGTTGGAAATGGAACAGGAAACCCTCGGCGAGCTGCAATAATAAACACAATTTTTTATTTAATTTGTATGTTTTTTAAAATTTCTAACTCATATTTTCTGTGAGCTAACTCTACAACCTTGATTTCTAATTATAAATTTATAATTTTTCTTTCATGTTTTTTTCTATTTTTATATATTACATTCTCTCTTAATGCTGCTTGTCAGTTAATTACAAACTCTTTTACATTTCTGCCGCCTTTAAATTACTGTCCTTCAGTTTTAAATCCAGAAGGAAGTGTCGTTTAGTTATGCTTTCCTGTTGATCGACCGAATGGTTCTGGGAGTACATATGTGTATGGTGGAAGAGGAGGGTGTGTTGGACCTAGCAGCAGCGGAGTGGTGGAGGAGGACGGAAGTGGAGAATGCTGAGGTACTGATAATTGGGACGGGAACTGAAAAGGGCGAAGGATGTTCATCAAATGAATAACTTGTTGAGAGCTGCGAAGTTAAAACTTCCATCTCCACAACGTTGCTCAGTGGTGCAATGTCCTCATCGGAGTCTTCATTTCACTGTCACTTTGAAACACAGCATTCTCAGCCACACCTGCAAAATGTTATATTTGTTGCATTTAAAAAATGTTGAATATACCCACATAATATTTGCCGTTATTTTATACATTCTTCTACTTTGTACATCCTAATGATGCTTGATAATGGAAATCAAATGATATGATAAGCAAATTGAATCTAAATTATTTTGAAAATTAATTAGAACAACAATATGATAATGATAATAATAATAATAATAATAATAATAATAATAATAATAATAATAATAATAATAATAATAACGTATTTATAGTTCTATATTTTTTAAATGTCTTAAATGTTACAATTTTCGCAATAGGGATCTCTTCACTATTTTGGAACATTTTCATTTTGCCTATTTTAGTTTTTGATTCCTAAAGATAGTATTTTTTTCTCAAATCTCAATTACTTGAAAACTTTATTTCATAATGCCAGTAAGTTTTCTTCAACCTAAAAGAATTGTATCTCGTGTTTACGTGTGGCATCGCTTTTAAGAACAGACACCTTTGTATATGATACAATATGGCCAGGTTGTATAATTTACTGATGAATACACGAGTTCAACGAATGAAAACTATAGTTTCTCAATTATGCATTAGTCCAAAGATTCATAACAGAATAGTTGAGCCTACACTTAACACTTCTTAAAATTATCAGTAAATCAAATTTGCAGTCTTAATGTTGAACTTCGGGGAGTTGTAAACATTAACTTTTAGTTGTGAAAAGATTGTTCTCCAACATATAACGAATGAAGATAAAGATCCTTTACACGTGCTATTATTAAAACAAAGTAACAAATAATATTTGATTAATTTAAATTATTATATTTACTAAATTAAATTTCAAAACTTATCATATTTTAGTATTTTAGACAAATTAAATGCCTTAACTTCTGGTCTCTACTTTCATTCATGTGTACTAGTTAATTGCTTAGATAGCAATATTACTTATTATTTCAAATAGGTCTGAAGTCTTTCTATTATTGTACTGTTTACACTTACCATGATTCATGAAATGAGCACTGGAATCATTATTTATTGTTTATTAAATCCAGATTTTTTCTGATACCGCAGACGTTATGGAGTGTAATTTCCACCACCAATTTTGTACATTTTCACCTGGTAAAAGTGAAAGATATTAGACACATGTGTAAGTAACATATTAATCATTGGGGAAATGGCAACTAGGTGCCCAATATTTTACAAACCTTATCATCATTTCTTTCCTTTTTCGCAGCCCTTTTAAAACCATCCCATACAGCCTTCAATTGTTTGGTGGTCCTGCGACCTGTCTGGAATGAGGCATTATATGCTTTTGAAATTTGGCCCCAAGCAGTACTTTTTTTTACTCTTTTTGAACTGCATCAGTTGTTTTACCTTCAGCGCATATCTTGTATGCTTCTACTATGCCAATAATTTGATGTTGTTCAAACTCATAAAAGTTTTTATTCTTTTTCTCCATACCAATAGCCATTGCGTTATTAAGGAAAATAAAAGAAATGTAAATGAAATAGAGGTATATTACATTAGAAATTAAATAGGAAGACTAATAATTTAAAAAAGTTAATATTAGAAACATTAATAAATACTTAATTTCAAAAAACGCGAGAAGACTTAATACAACTACAAATTTCATTTTATTTATCAGTGATTGAATTTTGAAAAAAAGTAAACATTAATATTTAAAATTAAGAGTGGAAGGTAAATAAATTTATTTAAATAAACTAAGATCGTGCAAAACTAAACACAGAATAATCGGTATTCAAATATCGACCGTGTTGCTTTTTAGTGGTAGCATTTCGAAATTTTTATAGACTCTATAGTTGTATATTCCGTTCATATGCTTGAAAAAATCGTGAACGGCCTACAGAACGTTCAAATTTTATAGAATGTATTGCTATGGAACCCATATGGAAAGCTTTATGCAACCGGCCCTTAGACATGTGTCAACAGGTAAATCATTCTCCGCCACCACCCACGTGCTCTCCCTTTGCCGACTCTTCCTTAAAAGCCATTTACGGCTGTTTTCTACCTTCTCCAAAACAAAAGAAATGACATCAGTGGACCCACCTCGAGTCCGCAACCGGCGTCGCCTCCATTATTGTCAACATAAGAAAAGATCTCCCCGCAAAACGAAGTCCGCAGCACGTGACCCCATTCGTTTCTTTGTACATACAGAAGTTTGTATCAACCTCCACTTCACAGTTCGTCGCTTCTAATCGCCACCAGACTACTTTTCGCCATCCAACATACCAAATCATCCCAATACATGAAATGTCTTTAAAACAATGTCCCCGTTTATCTTGTCGTAGATTACATTCAGTGACAATGGTAGCAGTGGTCAGGATATTCCCAAGAGGTGAATATTGTGGTCAATCAGTTTTTCTTTAGGAGAACATGTTACAATGAATTGAATGGGTGAAAACCAGAATGGTATAAGTGACATTTTTTTAATTCTGAGAAAACGTGTTTATTTTAGGCCATATTTTGGTGGGAATGTATTTTCATGGTCTTAATGAACAATTGAATAGCCGTGATTTTTATGAGAAACAAAGCACCACGACTTTACAATAGTACACGACAGTAATACAGACTTAAATAATCAGATTTCTCAAAATTTATAAAATGTAACTTCAACTTAACGTCTCCCCATAGCACATCACACACAGTATTTAACTGTGTTTGACGTAAATAAATAAAATAAAAATAAAGTAAACCGTTCTGGTTTTCACCCATTCAATTTTAGTTGACTTTCTTTTTCAGAGTGAGAGAATCGCCGTTAACCCGGGTTTGCTTGAGAGTCGATCAAGGTCACGCGACGGTGGCACGAGGGAGTTACGCCGAGGCAAAAACACAAGGGAAAGATTACCTCCCCTTTATAATCAAACAGGGACACAATTTATCTTTGAACAGTTAACAACCCGAACATTTTGCATTTGAGAGGAAGAAGGAATGTGTGGTAGAGATGATGTATATTAAAAAACTACTCTGGGTATACTAAAACTGTGTGTCCAGAACTGAGAGGTTTCAAAAATAATTATAATAATTTTTTTAATATGAGAATTCACAATTTGTTTGTAAAGTTATAGCAATTTAGGGTACTAGATATGAACGCTCGTATTGGTATTTCTTCTGTAAACTTGGTCTACTTTTTGCAAAGTATTTGCAATGTATACATTTTTCCGTTTCTTGGGTAAGTTATTCAGTGTGTTACTATTTCGTGGCAGCCAAATCTACATTTTTCATATGAGTTATATTCAGTGTGTAGTATGTCCATGTGTGCGTTGATCAAGATTATATTGAAATTTTAGTATGAAACCTGTGTTGGCGTAAACTCTCACATCAATTCCATTTGTTCTAAACTTTCACATCAATTCCATTTATCACACCGTGATATCATTATTTTTCCCAGTAATTATTTCATTTGTGATCAGGTAACTAAGTTAGACGACAGATGGCAAACAGAAGCGGCGTTCTTTATTGTAGTAAACAACTGTGCGCTGTGAAGAAGCGCGTATGTCATACAGTTGATGCTAGACGCTCAAAAGCAAAGTAGTTGTTTAAGCAACATCAGGTCGACGAGAGAAAATGAGAGATAGCAGTACAAACCGCTGGGGGTTTTATTATCCCTCCCCCCCCCCCGCTCTGCAGATCTACTGGAACAGACTGCTTCTTTTCGCTGTGGATCCTGTGCACGTAAAATATGTTTATACAAATGTATAATGTATGTAAATGATTATAATGTGTGTAATTATGTGTGTATAAAAAGTAATTTTTAACTAATCTGTTAATCTGAACTCCCTTGAGCGTTTACGCGAAAATTTCGACTTGTGAGCGACGAATGCTGGTGATATTCCAAATTTTTCTGATACATGTTTTCCATGCTGCGTGTCTGTACGGTTTCCGTAAGAAGGGTTACGTCGCCATGAAATAACCAGGAACGTGATCAGTCGATGTTGATATTAAAGAAAAGATCGTAAGACTAATATGCAATCTGCAAGGTTTTTATTGAATCCACTCAAAATTAATATATTTTAGCACATTGTATATATGATTCTGAGGATTTTTCAAATACAAGAGCAACTGGACGTGTCTGGTGAAATACTTCAATTCTTTGCCTCTGCAAAAATTAAAATCTCACGAATTCGAAACGTGAAGCAGCACCTCATGAATAACACGAAATCGCAATGATTAAAAACATGAAACCGATATAACTTCAATCGATAATGCTTCCACTTTTGAATGAAATTAAAAATTAACTGTGTTTGATCTCTGAAATGAAATGATCTCTGAAATGAACTGAAATGAACTGATTCTAAAGATCCTGTCGAAATAATGATCCTGTCGACCAGCTGTGGTATCCCGACAGAGCCACTCTGACCTTAAACAAATTTTATCACGAAAACTCGATCCTAGAATCTGGAAGTCTACGAAACAGTAAACTAGAAACCACAACGGAAGCTTGTTTCAACATAGCCATAGAGTGCGCGGGCGTCCGTTTTCTGTTACAACGGATCGTTTCATTCCGAACCCATTATGTCTGTCACTCCTCAACCTAATTCGCGCAAGAGCAATTGAATTGGAGCAGACATATAAGCGACAAAGCTGCGCACTCGGCAACTCTATTTAGCTCGGACGAAATCAACCACTATATGGATAATTCTTGAACATGTCTGGCGCGATCTGTAAATCTCCGTGGATTCTCCTGACAATAGCAGAAGAACCTTACAGAAGTTCCCGAAATGTCGGACCACAGACTGGGCGTAATTTTTTTTCTCGTCCTTCTCCCATCGTCTCTATTCATGCACACGCATATACTTACGTGCACCATACTACCACCTATATAGGGAGCTTAGAGCTTCTCCTGCTGAGCACGACGATAACGCTGAGGGAATACATCGAGGGGGAGGGTGATTCCGCATATATCTTTTTGCCTGACTTTACGTTCGAGTCGAGAAGAATAGCGTCACATCATAGGATTTAACATCCACTACACTTATAGACTAATAACGTAAGT